CCATGACATCCCGAGAGGCGGTAGGGACTTTCACAAGGATCACCTCATCGGTGGCCAATTACCAAAACGCGTGGTCCTGGGACTGGTGGACAATAATGCCTACGTAGGAAGCAAAGAGAAGAATCCGTACAACTTCAAACACAATCATGTCACCATGATGAAGCTCAAAGTCAACGGCCAGGAAGTCCATGGCACGGAAATGAAAAGCGACTTCAGCAACAACAGCGCCCATTTGAAACAAGTCTACATGAATCTGTTCCGAAACACGGGGCAGCTATGGCGACCTGAGACCTGCGAACTGACTCCCAAGGCCTTTACTCAAGGTTACACCTTGTGGGTGGTGGATCTCACCCCAGACCTTGGCGTCAACTACCCTCGACACACTGGCAAGTTGGGTTTGGAAATCCAGTTTGGACAAGCTCTCGAGGACGCAGTCACCCTCATCTGCTATGAGGAATACGAAAATGTTCTGGAAATAGATCGTTTCCGGAATGCGACGATGGTATAAAAAGAGCAGCGACAGACGGTCATGCCACACTTTTTCTCCTCCTACAAGGAACCATGGATGAACCACTCGGGTTGAGCACCTTGTATTTAGAAGCCCCCGTGGCTGATGACGAACCACTTCATGCCATCTAACGGGGCACCCTGGCCAGACATGACTTTGCCAGACTGGGATGGCAACAGGATGACCCCTTTTACCCCAAAGCCTACGTGATCAACACAGATTTAAGCGATCAACCTGGCACACACCGGGTGAGCATCTATCGTCCAGCTCCTGGATCCGTGGAAATGATGGATAGCTATGGACTATAGCTATTACCCCTGTTTAAAGAGACTTTGAATCGCATGGGTCAGATTCAACAACGATGGAATACACGCCCCTTACAACATGGATACAGCACGTTGTGTGGGGTGTACTGTCTCTACATGCTGACCTATCGCGTGCGTTGGTGGACTTTTAATCAAGTGTTAGATACGTTGGACTGGAAGGACACCGCCAAGAATGATGCCACGGTATTAGCATGGTTTCATACCAAAGTGTCTACCTACCCCATCATGCAGGTCACGTGACCGGAAGTGACGTCACAGAGGTCACGTGATCCTCTCGACCAATCAGAAGCCAGGAGCGGTTCCAGATTCCTGAGCGGTTCTTGACTGATGCATACAACTACTGGCGAAGACCTATTCTATCCCGGAATCTTCACGGGTCTGAAATCAGTTACCATTATGCACGGAATTGGTTATTGTCCTGTCATGAAGTATCTTCAACTGAAACTCCAACAGCCAACCCTGTGGACAACTTTAGAGGATGATACTCATTCCTTTGCCACTGTTAGGGGGTGGGCAGTGGATTTCAAGAGAGGAAGAAGGGGACCTTCAACTGCCACAACGAAGGACAAGTTTCATAACATACATGACATGATTCTGGGTGGCGCACGGGTCACCACACGCCACATCGCAAATACAGTGTGCATCTCTCAGAGAGTTGAAAGTAACCATTGTGAGGAATGAACTGTCATGACAAGGTTTTCACCACGCTTGTTTCCAAGGCTTCTCACTCCTGATCAGAAACGCTCCAGGTCCATCATCCCTCACGGAACCTTTAGTCGTTTTGAAGCAGGCCCAGCCGATGGTGTTGAGTGTTTTGTAGCCGTGGATGAGTCATGGGTTCACCACCATCAGCCAGAGAGTAAACAACAGCCAAAGCAGTGGAAACACCAAACGTCCCCCTGTCCGAAGAAGACCGGTCCACCAGCCAGGAATGTAATTGCTTCGTTTTGTGGGATTCCAAAAGAATTTTTCTGGTGGACTACCTCCCGAAAGGCAGACCATTAATGGTCAATATAGTGCTGGTCTGTTTAGGCAACTGCATGAGGACTACAGTCCGTTTGACTCCAAATAAGAACGATGAATTGCAAAATAACTCGAAATCCAGAAAAGTGTATAAAACATCAATACGGTACTTGACCATGAATACCCTGTACCCAACAAAATCTGAATTTTGTTTAATTTAAGACCCATGACGGATGAAGTTCTTTAAGAAACTATCATGTAATTGTGTATAGAAATGTGTACATGACACGTAGGGGGGACACACCGTGGAAGGCACAGCGCAAGCACGCATGCACTGCACGTTCTGTGGTAGGGGAAATGACAGAGCGTTAGAGGGGCCGTCTCATGATAATTTCAGTCGCAATCTGACTCGCTCATGCCATAGATCTCGTCGTCGGAACTGCTGGTGCCTGAACCGACTGCCACTATTATAGGTTGGACTGTTGCTGGCCGTAGTCCATCTCGTGACCAATAACGTGGCTCTATCTCGTCAACGACTGTGGCCACACAACTCCTCCATGTTCCTACTGTTACCCGACCAAGGGATTCCTTTACGAGTTGTTCAACGTCTCGTAATTTGAACGTTGTGTTCGATCGTCCAACGTCACCCTTGACGATGCCCCATAACAACTCGATTGGATCCAGGTCACAGTGATAAGGTGGCAGTCGTAAGACTGCTTGACCCTGACCCTTGATGTAACTGTCAACTTTATACACGGGGTCAGGTTTCATAGTTTTGATGATTTCATAGAGCTGTGGTTTCGTCGCTTGAGAAGGAACGGTAATGTTCTTCCGTTGCAGCCAAGTAACCATGTCTCCTTTACGTTTATTAGAGGTTGGAGTCTTGCTTTCTGGATCCTGCACACTATGATACGGTGCATTGTCCATGACAATGAGAGACTTGGTAGGCAAAGCAGGGACTAATTTATCTTTCACCCACTCCAGAAATACATTGCCGTTCATTTCTGTGTGGTAGTCCCTGTTGTCTTTGGCCTTGGCTCAAAAGAACCAGCATGGAGAACTATGAGTCTTTCACCCTTTCCCATTGGTAACTTTCTACCAGACTCCTTACAGTCACCACTGGGTACCCACTGACTGCTGGCTGTGTGTGACGCATTTACCCATGTCTCATCTAAGAAGACGGGCTTATATCCTTCTTCACGTTTCTGCTTGATGGTACGAAGGTAATGATTTCGGAGACGAACAATGTCAGAACCTTCACACAACACATCCCTATTTTCTGGAGCAGTTTAACAATTGCACGTCAGACTTGATCCTTCTGAAAACTGTCTAATTTATCAAACTTGCGTGGTTTTGACATGTTCCCTACCTCCTTGGCCTGACTATTTGTATCTCGTCGACTAACAACATTTTAAAGTTTCTGAGGGGACATACCAAGAGCTTTTGAAGCTCGTTTCAAGAATTTATTAATTGCATAAAAAGGCTTTGCACTTTCTGCTTCACTTCTAAAGAAATCATACACATTCAACATCAACTGTTTAACATCTGCTGAGTAGCGCATCTTGTCATTGAATGAACACGGTCACTGTGTAGCACGTGCAGACCGTGCTTGCGATGTTCCTTCCACGGTTTGTCCCCCCTACGTATCATGTAGTACTACACATTTCTATACAAAATTACATGATAGTTTCTTAAAGAACTTCATCCGTCATGGGTCTTAAAATAAACAAAATTCAGATTTTGTTGGGTACAGGGTATTCATGGTCAAGTACCGTATTGATGTTTCATACACTTTTCTGGATTTCGAGTTATTTTGCAATTCATCGTTCTCATTGGGAGTCAAACGGACTGTAAGTGTCGCGGTAAACATACTAAAGGTGTGTTGTTCCACCACGACAATGCAACTGTGCACATGCCTGTTGTTGCAATGTCTGCAATCCGGGCTGTGGTTTGAGCCCATTCATCCTCCGTATCAACCAGATTTTGCTCCGTCCACCTCATCCCAAACTTGAAGAAATAACTGTCTGGCAAGCATGATGCATTATGCAAATGACAATTACGTCATTTTATTGCATCGGGATGTAGTCGTCTACAACATGGGCATCCAGGCACTTACCGGTCAACACAATTTAATTTAAGACTAATATAATCTGAATAATCATTAAGGTCATGAAGAGAAATTCTAATTTGCAAAATACCCAATTAACGCTTTATCATTTAACTTTGTGCCGAAATATTTTTGTTCCAAATTGTACGTTAATACATGAGTAATGTGTTAAAAACTTTGATGAACATATTGATTGGTGCCAGCTTTGAAGATAAATACAACTCACTCTTTCCGAAACTATACATACTTTTCTTCACCAATATTTAGTGCAGGTCATACATAAGCAAATCCGTAGGAAAATTGTATATATCGAACACCTGAATCCCTGTTACGTTTACCATCATCATTAAGTGGTTTTAATGATTTATAATGATATAATTCCATGTTTAATAATTTAAACCAATATTTAAGTCCTCTAAGTCGGTTAGATACCAACAAAGGTATACGAGCGGTCTCGCCCAGAACAGCCATATTAGAAGCGCTTCGGGCTTTCCTCCCACATTAAGCTGACACGCCGTGATATAACTGGAATACTGTTAAAAGCGGCGTTAAACCCAACTCACTCACTCACTATTAGAAGCGTACTTTCCAAAACCAAAGGAACCTCTTGTAATATAATCTATGGACTTTTACTATAACATCAACATATTTCATTCCCACAATTTCCGCGCCATACAATAGAATTTGTGCAATCTGATAAATTGATTCGGCTGTCATTTAAGTGATATTTAAGTTCTTTGCGAATCAATTAATTTCTACTCTCATGTTTAATGAGAGTCTATTTATCTGCAGTGTTTCAAAATAGACATCCTGATTAACACATTCAGTAATTCCAAAATCATGAAAAATATCCTTTTAAAAATCTATGCTTCTGTTTAAATCATATATCAATGCCTCTGTTTCCACTGATATATTTTATCCAACATTCTCACTAACCTGTAATTTATGGGAGACTAAACGAAACATTATGACGTCCTTAACCTTTCAAACATGCTGACATTTGTCGTGTTTTTTTATGCAAAGTCTTTTTTCCACTTCATGAATAATTTCGCAATCTCTCATGTGCATGTACAGACAAGTGTCTTTCTCCGTGTAGGGCCTTTCTCCTGGTTTAAAGTGCGGGATACACGGAAGTGTTTTCATGGCGTCAACCAGTCTCCGATCTACGTGGACACTGACAAGGTGCGACGCTCCTGTGGCCGGACCAAACTGAGATATTGCCCCGTGGGTCAGGTCACTGGATTATTTGAGAACGATGGTAAGACAAAATCTCTCTGTCAAGCATGTGACACATCATTGTCAAACAACATTGTGACGCAACATCGTGAAATACAACACACACAAAAACGGATAGACATATCATGACACATCGTGACACAACCTCAAGACATTTCTTAATACAAGAAAATACAAGAGATTGACACGACATCCTGATACAATATCCTGACACAACATCCTGCAACAACATCGAGACATATCTTAATACACGAAAATACAAGAGATTGACACAACATCCTGATACAATATCCTGACACAACATCCTGCAACAACATCGAGACATATCTTAATACACGAAAATACAAGAGATTGACACAACATCATGATACAACATTCTGACACAACATCGAGGCATATCTTAATACAAGAAAATACAAGAGATTGACACGACATCCTGATACAATATCCTGACACAACATCCTGCAACAACATCGAGACATATCTTAATACACGAAAATACAAGAGATTGACACAACATCATGATACAACATCCTGACACAACATCGAGACATATCTTAATACAAGAAAATACAAGAGATTGACACGACATCCTGATACAATATCCTGACACAACATCCTGCAACAACATCGAGACATATCTTAATACAAGAAAATACAAGATATTGACACAACATCCTGACACAACATCGAGACATATCTTAAAACAAGAAAATAAAACACATTGGCACCACATCCTAGCACAACATCCTGACACAACATCGTGACACAACATCATGATACAACATTGTGACACAACATCATGATACAACATTGTGACACAACATCATAATAAAACATTGTGATACAATATCCTGACATATAGTAATACAATACGAAAATGCAACATATTATCACATCATGATACATGACCCAATAGCATATCTTAATACAAGAAATTACAACATACTGACACAACATCAGCATGCAACATCGTGACACAACATCAGGATACAACATTGTGACACAACATCAAAATACAACATCATGACACAATATCCTGACATATAGTAATACAATACGAAAATACAACATATTATCACATCATGATACATGACCCAATAACATAACATAACAACATGACACAACATCGGGACACATTATCATGACACAACATCGGGATACAACATCGTGACACCATTCTGATGCAACACTTGCACAATAGTGACATATCATGATATAACAGTTTGACACAGTATTGTGACACAACATCGAGACATAACTTAATACAAGAAAATATAACATACTGGCACAATATCGTGACACAACATCGTGATCACAGTCTCGACAACATCACCGTGACGACTGATAACAACCTCGGCAACATCACCGGGGTGGCTGATAACAAACTCGGCAACATCACCGGGGTGGCTGATAACAGACTCGGCAACATCACCTGGGTGGCTGATAACAGACTCGGCAATATCACCTGGGTGGCTGATAACAACCTCGGCAACATCACCTGGGTGGCTGATAACAACCTCGGCAACATCACCTGGGTGGCTGATAACAACCTCGGCAACATCACCTGGGTGGCTGATAACAACCTCGGCAACATCACCTGGGTGGCTGATAACAACCTCGGCAACATCACCTGGGTGGCTGATAACAACCTCGGCAACATCACCTGGGTGGCTGATAACAACCTCGGCAATATCACCGTGATGATTTTCGATGTGAAACACTGGCCCATCATTACAGGGTACCACCCTAAGCTGGCTGGAGGTGATATCGGCAAGGCGAAGCTCAACGGTGTGCCCGGATTCGAGAATGTGGACTTCGAGCTGAACTCCATCCATGTCCACATCGGGAAGGAAGGGAAACGCAGAGGTACCGAGCACGTCATTGGGAGAAAAAGCTACGACGCAGAGGTGTGTAGTTTGGTATGATGTGAGGGAACTGCATGTAATAAAGCCTACTAACAGCAACTTTAGAGCAACAGTAACTTTTTTAAGAATTGTGTTATGCACTCACAAAATTCGCGTTAACAAATTTACAACAATACCTTCAACCCTTGGTAGGAACTGGTGGTCAAACAGCCTTAGTCTAACAATGATGTTAGTCGTCGTAATATGGAACAATTACCCAATGCTAAGCTTAAACGTGACTGATAAGCTAACAAGCTCGTGTGTGCCACCACGTCTAACCAACTGTAAGCGCTTTATGAGTAAATGTACTATCAAACTTGTTTTGTTGGCAGAATATATCTTAATTATGTTTCCAGATGCACATTGTCCATGTACGTGAAGGCTCACAAGGAAGCGGCGAGAAGGCGGGACTCGCCGTCATCGCCATCTTCCTCTCGGTAAGCGGGCGTGGTCTGAGTATGGATGTCGCTTTACCGCAGACAGGTTTGCATTATTCTAGCCATATAAACGAGGGGAGACACTAGACATATTATCAACACTTTAAACCCTTGTGGTCTTCGGCCTGACGAGCCAGCAATGTAACCACAAGGCTACACACCGCCTCTGTATGGACTTGTTACAAGTAACTTTACACGTGGCTAATGCGTTAATAATATCCTGTGTTGTCTAGACCACGGAAGGCGAACATAACTGTGAGGTGGACGCTATGCTGAACAAAGTGCATCGCATACAGGAGTATACGGGAGGTAAATATTTACAAAGTTCAGGTTAGGAGTGATCCAATCCCTTAAACAGCATCATGGTATACACCTGGAATATATTTAAGCACCGTTATCTATATATTTCATATGAAATAACAATTTATGAAAATCGTATCCTGTAGTATTGTCTGATGAAACACATTTCTCTTTGTTCATTCATATATTTTTACAGCTATTTTGCCCTTTACGCCAATTGAAATCTGTTTCTGTGGATAATCTAGACTGATGACTGCTTATTCTCTTGCACTGAGTATATATATTTACAACGTGACATAGCCATATTGAAATACACACACCGAAATCGATTATCTAAAGACATGTTTTGCAGCTGTTTCATGTTTTACTGAACCTGGAAAGTTGTTAGGTTGATCGGACACCTTTTGGGTAAGTGTCGTATGTCAAAGACATGTGTACCTCACAAGTCTAAACTATATAGAAATGGTCTTTGAGAGAGCAATGTACCATGGTCGATAGTTACAATGTTTTACGAGACCGAATACATTGTTGTGAAGATATGGTAAAGCTAGCAAACGAAATGAATGTGAGGATTAGGCTTTCAAAACGCTTTCAAAACGCTAGTCATTCAGACGCTAGTCATTGCTTGTAGCGTTGAATCGAACACCATCCTGAACATTCATGATTGATTACATTCACAATAGATTCTATTTTATTACAAAATTGTCATCTGTATTAATCATCGACCAGAAATGTTAGATTAACATCTCTTCGTGTCAGGGTTATGATTTGGTTGGTTTGTAGTTTAACGCCGCACGCAGCAATATTCCAGCTAAATGACGGAGGTCTGTCAATTATCGAGTCTGGACCAGACAATCCAGTGATTAATATCATGAGCATCGATCCACGCATTTGGGATCGATGCGTGCATCAACCAAGTCAGCGAGCCTGACCACCCGATCCCGTTAGTCGCCTTTTACGACAAGCATAGTCGCCATTTACGACAAGCATAGTCGCCTTTTACGGCAAGTATGGGTTGCTGAAGACCTATTCTACCCCGGATCTTCACGGGTCTCAGGGTTATGAGAAACTTCCATACTGCCATAATTATAAGAGAACAGCTAACAGTTTTGAGCCAATACGCTTAGGTCGTATGTCGTACAATTATATCCCATAATTTATTCAAACCAAAACATTTCATACAACAGAGGCACTCAACGGAGTTGCATGCACCTAGAGATTTACTCATACGTCAGTTCTTGCAACTGTACCTCTCTATCCTGATACAGTCACTCTGATAGCCTGTCATACAGACCCTGAAATTTTTTTTCAATACAGCCCAAGCAAGTCTTTAATATTTAGCAAGTCTAGATTTCTGCAGTTTCTGAAAATGAAGAAAGCATCTTGGCTTCGTTTATTATATTTTGTTAAGATGACCTAACAACTTTTCACGTGTCCTATACCTATTACTTAACCTTAAGGTGAAGGATGGGCACCCGTCAATGTGTGCTCTGTAGGAATGTAACCACAAGAGAGGCACTGATGGCGTTCTGCTTGCTTGCTTTATCCACAGGCCCATTGTGTGAAGGAGAGCCGGATTCTGGCTGCGCACATCATGCTTCAGGGGACTGGGAATGTGGTGAGTGATACAGGGGACGGGGACTGTGGTGAGTGTTACAGGGGGCGGGGACTGTGGTGAGTGTTACAGGGGGCGGGGACTGTGGTGAGTGGTACAGGGGGCGGGGACTGTGGTGAGTGATACAAGGGGCCGGGACTGTGATGAGTGGTACAGGGGGCGGGGACTGTGGTGAATTGTACAGGGGTCGGGGACTGTGGTGAGTGGTACAGGGGGCGGGGACTGTGGTGAGTGATGTAGAGGCGGGGACTGTGGTGAGTGATACATGGGGCGGGGACTGTGGTGAGTGATGTAGATGCGGGGACTGTGGTGAGTGATGTAGAGGTGGGGACTGTGGTTAGTGATACAGGGGGCGGGGACTGTGGTGAGTGATACAGGGGGCGGGGACTGTGGTGAGTGATGTAGATGCGGGGACTGTGGTGAGTGATGTAGAGGCGGGGACTGTGGTGATTGATACAGGGTGCGGGGACTGTAGTGAGTGATGTAGAGGCGGGGACTGTGTTGAGTGATACAGGGGGCGGGGACTGTGGTGAGTGATACAAGGGGCGGGGACTGTGGTGAGTGATACAGGGGGCGGGGACTGTGGTGAGTGATGTAGAGGCGGGGACTGTGGTGAGTGATACATGGGGCGGGGACTGTGGTGAGTGATGTAGATGCGGGGACTTTGGTGAGTGATGTAGAGGTGGGGACTGTGGTTAGTGATACAGGGGGCGGGGACTGTGGTGAGTGATACAGGGGGCGGGGACTGTGGTGAGTGATGTAGATGCGGGGACTGTGGTGAGTGATGTAGAGGCGGGGACTGTGGTGATTGATACAGGGTGCGGGGACTGTAGTGAGTGATGTAGAGGCGGGGACTGTGTTGAGTGGTACAGGGGGCGGGGACTGTGGTGAGTGATGTAGGGGCGGGGACTGTGGTGAGTGGTACAGGGGGCGGGGACTATGGTGAGTGGTACAGGGGGCGGGCACTGTGGTGAGTGATGTAGAGGCGGGGACTGTGGTGAGTGATGTAGAGGCGGGGACTGTGGTGAGTGATGTAGAGGCGGGGACTGTGGTGAGTGATACAGGGGGCGGGGACTGTGGTGAGTGATACAGGGGGCAGGGACTGTGGTGAGTGATACAAGGGGCGGGGACTGTCGTGAGTGGTACAGGGGGCGGGGAATGTGGTGACTGGTACAGGGGGGGGGGGGGACTGTAGTGAGTGATGTAGAGGCGGGGACTGTGTTGAGTGATACAGGGGGCGGGGACTGTGGTGAGTGATACAAGGGGCGGGGACTGTGGTGAGTGATACAGGGGGCGGGGACTGTGGTGAGTGGTACAGGGGGCGGGCACTGTGGTGAGTGATGTAGAGGCGGGGACTGTGGTGAGTGATGTAGAGGCGGGGACTGTGGTGAGTGATGTAGAGGCGGGGACTGTGGTGAGTGATACAGGGGGCGGGGAATGTGGTGAGTGATACAGGGGGCAGGGACTGTGGTGAGTGATACAAGGGGCGGGGACTGTCGTGAGTGGTACAGGGGGCGGGAAATGTGGTGACTGGTACAGGGGGGGGGGGGGGGGACTGTAGTGAGTGATGTAGAGGCGGGGACTGTGTTGAGTGGTACAGGGGGCGGGGACTGTGGTGAGTGATACAAGGGGCGGGGACTGTGGTGAGTGATACAAGGGGCGGGGACTGTGGTGAGTAGTACAGGGGCGGGGACTGTGTTGAGTGGTACAGTGGGCGGGGACTGTGTTGAGTGATACAGGGGGCGGGGACTGTGGTGAGTGATACAAGGGGCGGGGACTGTGGTGAGTGATACAAGGGGCGGGGACTGTGGTGAGTGATACAAGGGGCGGGGACTGTGGTGAGTAGTACAGGGGCGGGGACTGTGTTGAGTGGTACAGGGGGCGGGGACTGTGGTGAGTGATACAAGGGGCGGGGACTGTGGTGAGTGATACAAGGGGCGGGGACTGTGGTGAGTAGTACAGGGGCGGGGACTGTGTTGAGTGGTACAGGGGGCGGGGACTGTGTTGAGTGATACAGGGGGCGGGGACTGTGGTGAGTGATACAGGGGGCGGGGACTGTCGTGAGTGGTACAGGGGGCGGGGAATGTGGTGACTGGTACAGGGGGGGGGGGGGGGGGGGACTGTAGTGAGTGATGTAGAGGCGGGGACTGTGTTGAGTGATACAGGGGACGGGGACTGTGTTGAGTGATACAGGGGGCGGGGACTGTGGTGAGTGATACAAGGGGCGGGGACTGTGGTGAGTAGTACAGGGGCGGGGACTGTATGCCACAGGGACTTCCTTTTCTTTTTCTTTTTCTTTTATAGTGATCTATTTAACCGTCAGAGTAAAACATATTCTTTATCCTGCCCTACCAGCTTTGTTTATCAATAACTTTATGATTCTATGTGCCCTGTAGTGAAAAGACAAATGTGAAAAATCTGTCAAGTTTTCCATCTATACTGTAGGTGGCATTCGTCATGCCATCAGGCCGGAACTTCTTCTGTCATCGCAAGTAACGAGCTGTGGCTACTACTACTACTACGGATCTCTGACCACGCCCACTCTTTCCGAAAGCGTGTTATGGCAGCTGATAAAGAAACCTATCAGGATCTCACGAGCTCAGGTAAGCATTAGACGCTGTGTGGTTGCCGATCAGCGGCGTAACAAAATAAACCATACACAAAAAGGATATAGCCTACAAGTACGTTTTCTAGAGAATTTCATTAAATCATTTAGTGAAGCTACTCTTGTCTATGAGATACCACCTTTCCTTAAAGTTAGACGTGCAACACAGCAACAAAATCACACACAATAACATTTCGGGCACATTTCGGTCAAATCCAACTATATTATATATTTGGGTAAAGAACCAAGTTACATATGTATCCAACAAACATGTTCATGTGTACGGAAACTGACCCCCTTACGTTCTCGGCCGCTTCTCGATCCGCTGCATCTCCATTGATGTCTTCACTAGTAAAGGGCCTCAACTACGTCCTACCAACAATGTCACCCTCCAGTATGCTTACCATCCATATTTAGGTATCCTCGCAAAAAACAACATATCCGAACGTGGCATTCTAATACTTTGTGTATTGTGTGGTCTTTTAAGTGTAGGACCGCCTCCGTGGTCTAGTGGTAGAGCGTCCGCCCGGAGAGCGGAAAGTCCGGGGTTCGATTCCCGGCCGCGTCATACCAAAAGACGTTAAAAAATGGTACATGTTGTTAGCATGTCTGGCGCTCGGCATTAAAGGGTTAAAACAAGCACTGGTCGGCTCGGAGTCAGTATACTGTGTCTGAGTGGGGTATTCATGTTAAACTTCGGCATGGTATCTCAATGTGCTAGCACTATACATCGGCATCAATCCGGACTAGGTCAAGCAGCCACACACACACACACGTACATGCACGTCGCTATATAAGTGCAATAACCTTGGACGCGACGTTAAACCCAATTTCACCTCACCTCACCTCTTTGAAATGTAACGTAGTCCTCTTTGCATGGTGTGGTCGTCTACCTGTTATATGCCAACCTACGCGTGTCATTGTCTTTTTCAACAACGGCTGGCTCGTTTCAGTATGGCATCGTCTACTATGTGAATTATGGTCTGCTACTCCCACGAGGTCTAATGCGTGACGAGTGGTCTGCTGTTTCAAATGTGGTTTAATACGTGACTTTCGTTCTGCTCCTTCTGACGTGGTATCATACGTGCATTATTATCCTGATCTGATCATCCGCCTGTGATGTGATCGTTCTTGTGTAACGTAATCTTATACATGGACGTGTATTCATATGTGTGGGGTGTTCTTTAATAACCGTTGACGTATTTTGGTGTCTTCACTGTATGACAAGGGCACCGTCCTGTCCTACTTGTAACGTGGCTTTCTTCATCTGATGCGGGGTTGTACGTGTGACGTGATGTGTCACAAGTGTACAGTAGTCTCTCAAATGTTTCAGCTGAAGGCCATCAAGAACACACATACTCATTTCCCTGGGGTCCTTATGAAGGAATTTGGCAACCTGCGACCTCTTCAGAACCTCAATGGCCGTACCATATACGCAAATATATGTGGTGATGAAATTGATGACTGATGACGCGGATTGATAAAGTGATCGGTGAGATGCCAATGCCTAATTTCAGGATAGTCTATGGGACGTTTTGTTTTTTCTTACTGATGTGACGTTCTATAGCCACATGAATCTTGTGCATTGGCAATGTTCTTGCTCACGATGCCAATCACTGGATTGTCTGGTCATGATTCGATTATTTACAGACCGCCGTCAAAAGGTTGGAATATTGCAGAGTTCGGCGTTAAACAAGAAACAAAAAACCCACAAAAACAACCAAACAAACAAACGTTGGCAATGTGAACATGAACGCTTTGGTCACCCAAGTCACTAGACAATAAACTCTGAGCTTGCAATGTCTCTTGTTTTGCTTTAAACCACCTATCAAAGAAGCAAATTAATCATCATGTACACACGGCATAGTTACAATAAAATGCTATGGCCAGAATATGTTTCTTAGATCAGGGAGATTATACAAAGACTTATATGCTTAGATTAACCAACCAGTCAAATGACAAAACAAACTAATTTTACAGAACAGCCACATGCATTAATTGTGTATGCAAAGAACCTAGGTCCCAGTTACATGGCGGACGAACCAATTTAATAGAACAGCAACATGCATGCGTATTGTGTGTGCAGAGAACCTAGGACCAAGTTTAATGATACAATTCTAATGTAGCAAACAGCAACATGCGTGTATATTGTGGATGGAAAGAACCTATATCCCAGTTTCATGACAAAGTACTTATTTAACAAAACAGAAACATGCATGTATATTGTGAATGCAAAGAACCTATATCCCAGTTTCATGACAAAGAATTAATTTAACAAAACAGAAACATGCATGTATATTGTGAATGCAAAGAACCTATATCCCAGTTTCATGACAAAGTATTAATTTACCAAAACAGAAACATGCATGTATATTGTGAATGGAAAGAACCTTTATCCCAGTTTCATGACAAAGTATTAATTTACCAAAACAGAAACATGCATGTATATTGTGAATGCAAAGAACCTATATCCCAGTTTCATGACAAAGTATTAATTTAACAAAACAGAAACATGCATGTATATTGTGAATGGAAAGAACCTTTATCCCAGTTTCATGACAAAGTATTAATTTACCAAAACAGAAACATGCATGTATATTGTGAATGCAAAGAACCTATATCCCAGTTTCATGACAAAGTATTAATTTAACAAAACAGAAACATGCATGTATATTGTGAATGGAAAGAACCTAGGTCCCAGTTTCATGACAAAGTATTAATTTAACAAAACAGAAACATGCATGTATATTGTGAATGGAAAGAACCTATATCCCAGTTTCATGACAAAGTATTAATTTACCAAAACAGAAACATGCGTGTATATTGTGAATGGAAAGAACCTATATCCCAGTTTCATGACAAAGTATTAATTTAACAAAACAGAAACATGCGTGTATATTGTGAATGGAAAGAACCTTTATCCCAGTTTCATGACAAAGTATTAATTTAACAAAACAGAAACATGCATGTATATTGTGAATGGAAAGAACCTTTATCCCAGTTTCATGACAAAGTATTAATTTAACAAAACAGAAACATGCATGTATATTGTGAATGGAAAGAACCTAGGTCCCAGTTAAATGACAAACGAACTAATGTAACACCATACAAGCGCGTGATAGGCACGATATCTAGCAGAAACAGTTCAGATTCGCCATCAATCACACAAAAGAGATCACATCTACTTCATACCATCCTGGGCAACGTTCCACAAAGCTATCTTGGCGCTACGACTATCGTAAGCTTGTGTTAAAGTATGGGAGTTACGATCACCTTAGCGCTAAGGTGGCTTTGTGGAACAGGGCCCTGTCCATCATGTTGTGACAATAGCATCCTGCTGGTTTTGTTTTTCAGCCTACTTATGTCAATCTCTCTAGCGTATGCAAATTGGTTTTACTGTTAGCCCTTCACCTACTGTATATAATTTGGTACAATGTTCATTATTGAGTCTTGCTTAATAATGCAATTCAATTCAGTTGATTACTCGAAAACCCACCAACCATCGTTTGCAGTACTTTCCATAATAGAGCTGCGCCAGTTTGCAGATAGTGATCTTTAAGTATTTCCTCTTCTTTGACGCCGGCCATTGTGTAGAACATACATACGGGTTATCAAACAATTCAGTAAGTCCACAATCCTTAAGAATGTTTTCTACCAAATAAATCCATGGAAGTTTATCAGCAATACGGGTTCCATTAACAGTGATAAACTGGTATAATTGTTTTTGTTAATTTGTCGTTGTTGCAATTTATGCCAAAATATGATAACGCGTTTATAAATTTTGATATACAAGGGCACTCTTCCAAATTCCCCGTAGACCACGAAATTTGGTGTTGAGTAAAGAAGACTGCAATTTTCAGAAGTTTTAGATGTACTTTTCAAATCCCCACTGACATTTTTATTGCTGTTGTGAATCTCCCGTTTCTATGCAGTTTTATCCCAAGATATGTATATTTATCAACAATCTCCATAGGTTGTTTAGCAAACGTGAATGATAATTTATAATTAGTATTTTTAGTGAGACCATTTTCAAAAATAATTTCTTTGGTTTTAAAGATTCACATCTAGTTTCCACAAAGTACAAAATTCATGAAATGCATCCAGTGATTTTGGCAACTCCACTCGGTCATAACTAAACAGAACAGCGTCTTCTGCATATAGCATAATATAAACTGTAGCCAGAACATTATGTCATTGTCTTCCTTATACTCCAGATTCGTGATAATTAATGAAAAGGGAGAATAGTAATGGAGAGAGACGTTCACCTTGTCTCACACCAATGTTACAAGGAAAATAACATGCCATTCAATAGTTAAACATGACAGTGGATTTAATGCTGTGGTATATATTGTTAACAAGAGTAAGAATTATTCAATTAACATCCCATTTAACCATATTGTGCTACAGACACGCTATCCATATGATATAAAAAACACTTTTGTGACGTCTACGAAGTCACAGTATATTTGTATTTGAAAATATCATTATTTCCACAAATTTTTGTAGGACAAATATGTTATTGGTAACGGAGAGGCCTTGAGCTGGAGTTAAAATAGTATTTGATTCTAAAAACTCTGTAAATCTTGTGATTAATATACTTGCAAAACGCTTTCACAAACAACTTAAAATTGTTATATGTATTTACGAGTTGGGATCTATGTGGTTACCTTTCTTCTTCTAAATAGGTTTACTATTCCCTTTAAACCAATTATCTGTTATTATTTTTGTCATCCTTCCCATTATTCAGTGCATAACAATGTGACTCACTGTCTAGCACCTTGCCAAGTAGAGGTGAAGTATGGGAGGATTACCTATATTCACCTTCTTAGAGAAATATAGCCCGCATGAACGCACTCGCACCAGAGCACCGCTGAACATTTTCCATCTTTTCAGTTTAAAAACGGAAATCTAAAAAAATCAACATCGCTCTCGCATTCCGGTTTTTATTGATGATTTTGATAGATTATAGTTCAAAACCTTTTGTTACCAACACGTTATTTTTATTATGTCATACTATTAACATTTAGAACTACAATAACAATTCTCTGGAGGAGTGAGTGAGTGAGTATGGTTTTACGCCGCTTTTAGCAATATTCCAGCAATATCACGGCGGGGGACATCGGATATGGGCTTCACACATTGTACCAATGTCGCTCGTTAGGCCGAAGACCCGGGTTCGATTCCCGACAATAGTACAATGTGTGGAGCCCATTTCTGGTGTCCCCCGCCGTGATATTGCTAGAATATTGCTAAAGGCGGCGTAAATCCATACTTACTCACTCACTCTCTGGAAGGAAAACAACAAGATTACAGAGTGAACTGACAGCGCATTTTTATTGTCTTGGGACAGATCCACAAATGTAATTTTTCCTCTTTGTACACAAAACCCTGACACAATGTGTGAACAGCTGTATAATTTTGACTAAAGGCGAGGACGGGTCAGTGCTTTGGCTGGTATAAGGTTAGTATTTATGCAATAATTGATGTGCTTTGCTCGGGCATGCTTCAGCTTTCCTGTAAACAAAAGTGGTTAGAATTAAAGGTGTACGTCACACTAGATTAAACATACATATCTCCAACTTCATTAAGACAACATATTAAGGGGACAAAACACATTAAACCAGAAATTAGCCTAACAGTGTTGTAAAAATAAACACACCTTCCAACAGCATGTCTTTTGTGCCAGGCAAAAGGAATTTTTTTTCAACAGACTGATACATAAGTATATTTTCCAAGCACTTTCTGGGAAAATGTTTTTGCGCTTCCCCCTTACCAGAAATAATGTCATAAAAACCCAAACAAATATTGCAAGACCCTACATGAACATTGTCCATCCATGACAGAACCATGGTCTGGGAAGACGGTGCCACCAATGTGGTCAAAAACCACATTGCAGGAAGCTGCTGGATAATCCGAAACCTTTGAAGCATTTTCGTCTCTGGGATTGTGTGACTCATTAGATTCAGCACCACGGCAATATGCAATACGTGACTATGCCATTTGATATAGATTGGGAATCATACCGGTTGCATTGCTATCAAAACATTTTTATGTAAATTAAATTGAGGTAACACGCCCTCATGGTTTTTTATCTAACCTGGTTACCAGACACGACGGACTATTTTTGTTTACACATTAAAATAGGGCCGAGTATCAGCTTTCTCGTGCATTGTTTTACAGTCATTGATACGAGGTATGACAACGCGACAAAATGCAATGACACGTGCGACTACATTCAGCTAATCTCCTTTTACGGGATACCGTGAAAAACAGAAGCTTCAAATCACGTACATCTTAATTGCTCAACGACGGGAGCAGATAGAATTTTTTTACAAATTCTCCGCGCACCTCTAGGGGCCAGATACCGATTGTCGTACAACAAGTCCATGTCGCCCTGTATCAGTGTATCAATCCGTTGGGAACTAAATATGAAACAGATGGGGAGGATTCACTGGTATGATGGTAGCCTTTAATTCTTGCCCAGGTGGGTTAATCCGTGGAAGGGGGTGTCGCTAGCTGACCATTATTGAACGATATCCGATCACCGATATACCTGTAGCTTAACCAAACCTCTTGGCTAAATTCCCTACTTTTGATCTCGCCAATCCGAACTGTGTTTCCGATTCGTATGCATAAACAAACTGATCAGAAAGTAGGGAAACACAACTGGTGCTTACTACTTGCCTAAATAGCCTGTGAACAAGTGTCATAGATGTTATGAGGAAGTCTAGCATTTCATGATCACATACATTGTATTGTTTTCTAAGCATTAAACCTTATACATTTACTTTCATTTTTGACACGTTGTGCTGACCGTTTGAAGATAGAGATGCAACATCATCTATGGTTGTACTTGTGGCGTTGAGTAAAAGCTTAAAGTGAGTAAGTCATAAATGTAGAGTGAGTGAGTTTTAACTTACCGTCGCATAGCTATGGAGAGTATGCAGATTATGACATGTCAATCATTTTACAACCATGCAGTTAATATTTCATAACAAAGTGTACATACATGTGCATACATCATTAAGTGGATTGTCTGGTCCAGACTCGATAACTTACAGACCGCCGTCATATAGCTGGAATATTGCTGAGTGCGGCGTTATAAAAAAAAACAACATCATAAAGAGTTTTCTTAAATGTATGTTCCCTTTTACGAACAGAAAGTTATTTGGCTGTCGTGTTTTAAGATTTAAATTTTTTTTTTAAATTTCATGTATGTGTCTAAGTCAACTGTGATACTACAGATGCGATGTTGCTTTGATTGGATAATACGAGTAAAGTTCTTGGACTGAACGTTGTTAAATAACAAACACATACAATTAATGTAAAGGTGCACCAAATTGAAACAGACATTCAGAAATGGCAAGATGCATGACTAAAACGCAATGTCAATTTGATTTTTGTTATCACAATCGTCGTGCTATGTTGAATTTTGGCAGGCAACTTTCAAAACTGAAATCCATATCTGTTGTGTGTATCGAATGCCTGAAGTATCCTACTGCAAAGACCCCAGTGTCTAAGCCTCATTGGGTGGTGTTTCCATATCTTCTTCCTTCGGATCTCGGACCCCCTCGAACTTCTTTGCGATTCGTAACAGCAGCTTTTCATCAAAATGGCGCCCAACCAACATCATGCCAACAGGTAGGCCATCGATGGTCCCAGCGTTGATGGTCAGAGCAGGGTGACCAGTGCAGTTGAAAGGAGACGTGTTGCTCACCATCTCCATGCCGTTGAAGTAGTCACCTGAAACATGCGTCAATGTCATTTTATTCGTCACTGACTGACAACGACGAATCTAATTTCAGATCGGGAAACGAGGGCGATCCACAAATAATTTTCTCATATCCGGATTCGAGGGTCTTTGTTTTTTGGGGGTTTTTTTTGTTAAACGCCGCACTCAACAATATTCCAGCTACATGACAGCGGTCTGTAAATAATAGAGTCTGGACCAGACAAGCCAGTGATTGACATCATGAGCATCGATCCACACAATTGGGATACGATGACATGCATCAACCAAGTCAGCGAGCCTGACCACCCCATCCCGTTAGTCGCCTCTTACGACAAGCATAGTCACCTTTTACGGCAGGCATGGGTTGCTGAAGACCTATTCTACCCCGGATCTTCGCTGGTCTCGAGGGTGTTTGAAGACTAGGGTATCCAAATGTACGAATGAGTAATAACGGTGCGTGAGCTTGGGTTTAATATCACTTTTAATAGTAATATATTTACATCACCACGTGCCTTAGGGCGTTCTCAGACCACTATTGTCAAACCCATGGGTATGGTGCTGACAAATCTGAGAATCGGGCAAGATGAAGGGACGCAACCTCCGCACAGCGAATTATGTCACTTTAGACGTTTAGGCCAAAGTGTAATAATGTGTGGGGGCGGTCGGGTAGCCTAGTGGTTAAAGCATTCGCTCGTCACGCCGAAGACCCGGGTTCGATTCCCGACATGGGTACAATGTGTGAAGCCCATTTCTGGTGTCCCCCGCCGTGATATTGCTGGAATATTGCTAAAAGCGGCGGAAAACCATACTCACTCACTCACTCACTGTAATAATGTGCACGTGATTGAACCACATCTCCATCAATACAATAATTTGGGCTTGGGTTGGGGGGTTGTTGGGGATGTACTGCGTGTGGAAGAAAACCCGTGAATCCAGTTGGGGAATATAATTTGTGTTTCCCACTGATTTGTTAATTCTCGACTATTATTCCACTGATATTATTGTTTGCGGATCATGATGTCTTGAAAATAATTGTGGATGACGCCTTCCACTTTTGAAAGAAATTATGTGAACTGATGCTTTTTAATGTGATCGGCTAACCCACATTTGTCTACATCTTGACTTGGTATCCCCAGTATCTCATGCTTGTCAAAAGAACCGACTAAAAAAATGTATGACCTGAATGATTGCTTATTACCCCCATTGGCGTGTGTCGCCCATGTACAGGCCGCCACGGTATACATGCACCTTGACCATTGCGTTTGTACGGTTGCGTTGAACATAAAACAAACACTATTAAAACAATATTCATTCCCTCACTCTCTGGTAATCGTACCTGCTGTCATATTGGGCAGGTCGGTGTATGTAGGTGCAATGAAGGGCACGGTCGGCATAACGAGGACGTCATACTTCTCAAAGGCCCTGTCGTACGCTGCCTTCAGTTTCAGACTTAGATTCTGGGCCTTGCAGTAAAACCTGTTGCTGGTTTCCTGGTTGACATACTTCGCAGTAAGGTACACAGCCTTTGACGTGGAAGGGAGTTTTCCGGATTCTTTCCCAAGGGTTGCAGTCAAGGCATCATGGAGACTGCCTGGGTAATACCCCTTGAAGCCGTCCCCTATACCTGAGTTGACAGATGCACACACTGAAAAGCTGCCCGTGGAAGAGCATTTTACATTACATGTTCTACGAATGAACATCCATCTTATTCCCATTCAAATACAAATTAAACTATAAACGTAATTAAAATACTCAATGTTGAGATTCTATCACGTTATTCTGATCCTTTATTGACTAACTTTCACCAATAAAACATACCTGTATTTTCATTTTGAAGTATGTTATACTAGTCTATTGTGCAATGGCCTTTCTCTGTTAGTCTGAACAGAGAAATAGGAATGACTCACATATAAGCAAAACAGCTGCACGTTTTTCACACCAGGTTAATTTTACATGCCTTTTCCTTGGGTCAGTGTCTTGATTGATCCTTGTAGAAATATGCTTCCCCAGATAGCCCGACCTTGAAGATGTAAAATAGATAAAAAAAAAAATAATTATGGTAATAATGGCTTATGCTTTGCAATAACATGGCTCTGTGTGTGTACATGTACGCGAATTTAATGTTGACTTTAGTTATTTATATCCCTGCGTGTTACTAATGCACGAGGGGCGGTGGGGTAGCCTAGTACTTAAAGAGTTTACTAGTTAATCCGAAGGCCCGGGTTCGATTCCCCTCATGGGTACAATGTGTGAAGCCTATTTCTGGTGTCCCCCGCCGTGATGTTGCTGGAATATTGCTAAAAGCGGCGTAAAACCATACTCACTCATTCACTAATACACGAGCCCAAAATAGACTGTTTCGAAACGCATACCGTGTACGTGTTCTGGTACTGACACACTGTCAACCTCGGCGGCGTCTGTTTTCAGTTTCATGGCAGCTTTCATGACTATTTTGGCCACCTCCTCATCCGCAAGGTCAAATCCTTCTTTCAGTAGCCCGATACGGCGATCATCAACAGACTCCTCTAACTGTGATAACACATATTTTAGTTTCATTATATTAAGTACTGCATCATGAGACTACTTCTTTGTTTACTGGTATTAACATATTTTGATCTACTTTGCAATACCATAGCAAACTCAGCCGTTGTAAATATAAACCGTCATTGCGAGAGGATACCTAGTCTCGATTATCTGACGAAACATTTCGGAGTAAAAGGCAAAATAGCTGTAAACAATATATGAAAGGATCACTGAAAGACAGTGATGACACCAGGTGTTCGCGATAAGGATATAATATAAATTAATACTGATAGATTTGGGAATCAGGAATCAGTTTACGTGGCTCATGTAGGTTTCCATGGTTCCTAGGAATGTTCTCAGAACCAAGAGGAACAATAGTAATGGTTGCACGTACCTCTCGAGAGTAGTTCACGGACTTCAGTGTTGTTGGTTGGCGTGGATCCAGGTTGTTATCTGTTCCAGAGAGAACCTGGAGTTGATGTTGAAAATGAAGTGTCAGTGTTTGCGGTAGTTCAATATTATCCATTGGAGTGGGAGCTATATACTCGTGTTCATATGATGCAATCTATGTATATAATATCATTTTGATATCTATCTGTAGCTGTAGTTACGCAGAGGTCGAAGATGTGTTTGTGGAATCCTTAGCTGCGCAATCCACATATTTAATTTACTTCACCTACGAATGTTCAATCCACCAATAAAGTTTGCTGGTGTCTGCTAATATGTAAGGTCTAATCTATGTCATAATGAGTGCGTGAGTGAGTGAGTGAGTGAGTTGGGTTTAACGCCGCTTTTAACAGTATTCCAGTTATATCGCGGCGTGTCAGCCTAATGTGGGAGGAAAGCCCGAAGTGATGCAGGTCTCAGACGTTTACCAGTTCGGTGAAACCCACGAGCACGGGTATGGTGCTGACAAACCTAGAAACATAATCGGGGCGAACCGGGATTCGAACCCACAATCATAGGTTTCTGGCGTGGCCAAGGGACGCAACACTGCACAGCGAATCGCGGCGCCTTAGACGACTGGCCCACCCGTGTCACAATGAATAGACTACATCAAAATATTAATGGTGACAACAGAAGCTGCTTTTGACATGTTATGCTGGTTAAAAACTAATATTTTCTTTGTAACCAGGTGAGCTACAGTGTCAAAGCAATATTGTATATCGTTTGGCTGTTTACGCAAAATGAACTAGGAACAAACAAACCTCGAGAAGAGCTGCACAATCACCGACTGTTTTCGCCATGGGTCCCACGTGGTCTAACGTCACCTCGGCTGCTATTATCCCTGTGTAAGGGACCAGCCCATAGGTAGGTTTGAGTCCGACAATCCCCGTCCAGCTGGAGGCAATACGAAGTGACCCTCCGTGATCTAACCCCACAGCCATGTCAAGCTGGCCACCAGACACCTACATCAAAATAGGACAAAAGCAAGGATTTATACATATATATGTTAGTTTGTTTGTTGGTTAACGCCGTACTCAGAAATATTCCAGCTATATGACGGCGGTCTGTAAATAATCAAGTCTGCCCCAGACAATCCAGTGATTGACGTCATTAGCATCGATCTACGCAATTTGGATACGATGACATGCATCAACCATGTCAGCGAGCCTGACCACCCAATCCCTTTAGTCGCCTCTTACGATAAACATAGTCGCCTTAAAAGGCAAGCATGGATTGCTGAAGACCTATTCTGTACCCGGATCTTCACGGGTCACAAATATAAACTCCTCAAAAAAAGAAACGCACAGGTAGTATGTACATGTAGTTCATTGAACCTGACTACACAAAAAGTCCGGTATATAAATTGGATATATGTTATTGGAAAATGTTGGTGACATGATATTCGACAAACGGTGCGTCAAAACACGTCGCAGACACTACCACAACTGGCCAAGCAGAATGGCGCAGAGTTCCGCAGGACAGAATTCGTACACTTATCCAGTCAGTGCCGAGGAGATGCAGAGCCGTGATTGCTGCCCGGGGAGGTCACACGAGATACTGAGTTTAGAGCAACCTTGTGGCATTATGTGACATGACAATGAACAGTTTTCAATGCCTTTGTACAACGACATCATGTGACTATCGTGCTCCAAAATTTCATATTTGTATCTATGAAATTAAATATATAAGGTACAATAAAAATACTTAATATCCACCTGTGCGCTTCTGGGTTTTTTTAAGAGTGTATGTAATAATCGTATTTAGTAATGATAGTGCATGATAAAAATAATAATATTCCGGTATTCCTCCCATACTTCTACCATGGAATCTCAGGCTCAGCACATCAGAGCCTGGTCGCAGTGATGTAACCTAGTGGTGGTCAAAGCGTTCTCACTGCTTGGCTAAAGCGGTGCAAACAAACAAACTCACTTACTCCCACAAGCTAGGATGTTTGTTTGGTGGGGAATGTCCCTATATCATCTTACCAGTGCAGCGCCACCTGAATCAGCGGTACCGGCCAAACGGGTTGTATCGTGTGGGTTTTCAACAACCCCACTACCACTGGTAGAACTGTTCGCAGTCTTCCCTGTTATCTCGCCACCTGGAGAAAATAACAAGGTCATCAGCAGCCAGCGTAGATGATTGACAAAGCATGACAACACACATTGGGCAAAGTGTCATAGATAAATGTGGATGCAATTGAACTTTGATAATTTTATTTTCAGTTTCGTTCAGCATTTACACATGTATGGAAAATGGTATTTATTTATCTAAGTCTAGCGTATACATGTGTGTACAGCACAATAAGTGTTACTCAGGACGTAGCTGGAACCACTGATCTTGGGTTCGTATGAAATCCTTGGTGTTTCAGCACACGTTCTCGAGGGTTTCACCAAAGTGGTCAACCGGAAACACCGGATCTTTTTGTCACCATTAGATTGACACGCTGCGGATACACAGAGAATTTCACCCGAGTGTCAAATATAATTATCAAGACGATGCGATTAAAGTTACAAGTAGCTGAGGTTTGCCGAGGATAACTTTACTTTTATCAACGCGTCTTGATATATTCGAGCTTGGAAGATACCCGGGTGTGATTCTATTTACCGTCCAAAATCATTCTTCCAACTTTTCCAGGTTGTAAACAATAATAAATTCTAATGTTTTGGGCGTGAAAATAAAAGCTAACCAGCAGAGAGATTAGTGATGTCATCTGATTGTGACGTCACTGTGTTAATTGCAGCGATATCTCACACGAGATATAACTTGTTCTTTCCGAAGCGAAATTTTACGTGGAATAATGAAAAATATAAAACTCAAATACTGTTCGGCGTTACACTACTAACTCACTCAGTGTGAATACTAGTATATTCCTTGCTTTTGATCACAAGCATGTCCATAAACGTTGTTTCATGTTACAAAAAGGTAAATTTCATTAAGCCTTTGCTGACATACTGCTGACGAGGTCATACGTTTGATCTCATTCACTCACTAAATTGAAAAGTAAGTTACTGTCGTTTGCATGGCTATTGTATGAATGGGGAGTTACCTTCACTGAGAATTCTGGTGACCACAGTAGCATCGTACTCAGGGACATAGTCTCCCAACAGAGCTGAAGGGTTCATGGCGATCTCAGCCAGAGCGATGTTATCGGAGATACCAATTATCTTGTCCTTCAGAGCACCCGACTCCGCTCTTTGCACTTCACACTTGACAAACCTGTGTTGAAAATAAGCGTAGGCCGAGGTAAGAAAAGGGACCTTTTTAACTTGCTGGAAATGTTAATTTTTAAAGTAAAGAAAACTTTCTTTCTTTAACTTGTAAGATGGTTACTTCCGTATACCAAGCCCTTGGCCCAAGAAGACCTTTTAACCATCTCCTATGAAAACCCCGTTGGTCAAGAACGTGCTCATGCTCAAATATTAGAACCCCACATTGACCCCGATTATGATCCATGGGCTGTCAGCACTATATCCGTGTTCCTTACAAAACGACAAAGACCCTGGACCCCACGTCCAGCTGACACGCCATGCTCCAACTGAGACATTATTCAGAGCGGCATTAAACCCAACTCCGCCATTCCACGTCCAGCTAACAAGACATGTCATCACTAAGATATTGTTCAGAGCGGCGTTAAAAACAACTCTCTTACATTGACTTTAAGCCCGCAGTTAGGTGGCCAAATATATGTTTGCCTAATCGTCGCTCAGAGATCTTACAAATGTTTTTGAATATAACAAAGACATATATTCACGTAATACATGGTATATACTTTGCTATCATTACCTCAAGTATATTTGTCATTACTTGCCGAATTTGAGTAACAGTCGACATGATAAGCAGCATTTAACTTCATAGGTTTAACATGACCTTTGGTTGAGGTAAACAAAATTGCAATTGTCCTCTAAAAAGCTGTAAGTTTACCCCAGTCAAGATGTAAAGTTAAACATACGACTTACATCGTCATTGGTGGATTGATTAACACATGTCTAAAATGATAGCGACCGAACACAATCATTTCTCCGGTAGTAACTGTACGTGTAGGTAGCAATGTCAGGATTATTCACTCATTTGGCCTTACCAAGCATTGTATGGATTGTCTGCCCCTGTTGGCATCTGGCCGGTGGTTCGTGGATATTTCACTTCAAGACGAGGCTCAGGTATCTTCCATATAGCCGCGTACGCATTCATCGTGTAATTGAAACATTCTGTCAAGTAAATCATCATGTATTACAACACTGAATCATTTGAATAGTCATATCTTCCAAATTCCGTGGACTGTCAAACTGCTGAGGCTACACTTGATGCTTTCTCAGTGTTTCATATCAGAGGTGACAGCTTGGTCTTGTGTTTCTTAGGGAGGCCCTGTACATACACATTGTCGTTCCATGTCGCCAGTGTGAACCGGAGACGTACCTAGCATAGGCGGATCCAGAGGGGGGTTCAGAGGGTCCGGAACCCCCTTTTGTAAACCAAATGCAGTATGTTGTAGGCAGTAAAATTATCTGAGACAGGATTTTGATATTTTGGACCCCTCCCTTTTACAAATGCTGGATCCGCCCTTGACTAGCATGGCAGTATGGGGTACTCTTACAACAGGGGAGATAGCACCATACCCGTGCTCGGTGGTTTCACCGAAGTGGTAAACGTCTGTGACCTGCATCACTTCAGGCTTTCCTCCCACATTAAGCTGACACGCCGCGATATAACTGGAATACTGTTAAAAGCGGCGTTAAACCCAACTCAACTCAACTCTAATGCCTAGCATAGACACCCACGTAATGCTGCTCACGCATATAAGAATTAACGCAGGACTAGGTTTGATACTCACATACACACTTAGTCTACTTAGTCTACTAAATGGCCAGCCCAGGCTAGTTAAGCAATGACCAACTACGTGCAGTCGCACCACCAAACGCACCACCTTCCTTTTCCTATGTAGGTGGTTTGATACTTATAACGATTTGTTTGATGATTCATCCCTGGTGAGTGACTTGGGCCATTAGGGACAGATTACTTAGCCTTATATCTACAGACTTCCAGAAAGCTACACAAACCATCAACACTATCGTGAATATGTGCACACGATTTATATGAATTTTCCATGGCCATTTTTTGAAGTCAATTTATCTTATAACATTCAGATAGAGATAAAACAACACGAAGACAAAGCCATCGATATAACACGTCCTTTCAAATATGTGTATAAATTCAAAACAATCATTCATATATCTCATTAATCCAAAACGGTTTATACTCTGGCTTGTGAGTACAAATGACGTTATGATTGATTACTAACCAAATGGTTCCCTTCCTAGAGACAATAGCAAAATAGTAGAGGCGGAAAGAACTTGATAGCCGTGTCACATATATATTTTAAAAAATCTGACTTAAAATCATAATTCCGTAACACAATATAAAATGAATTAAACAATTCCTGAATTGGTATTTGATGCGCTGTTTGTTATGAATATACACTCCATAATGAGCAACACAGCACTCTGTCGCACAATCAACCAAGTAAACAAGTCTTGCCACCCGATACATTTATCCGCCTCTCACAACAAGCAGAGATTTCTGGCGATCTAATATAACCAAGAATCCGAAAACGGTTGTATGATGCATGACATATGATGTGCTTGAACAGTTGCATAAAGAAATATTGAATGGTTTAAAAATTATGACCCGCAAAATGAACCCTCATTTGAACGTAAGTCCAACATGTTATTGCTTCAGACACGACATAATCTGAACATTCAACAAAGATCCCCTGAATAGCAAAAGGAAGTTGTGCACCGCTTGTCTGATAGGATTAAACAGTTGCACAAAGACTTGTTCGGCGGTTAAAGTGTGCCGGATACCCTACAGACAACTGAAATTTAGTCACACTTGTGTCCAATATCCCCAGTAAAACGTTTTCGTGCGAGGGTTAACAATGCATCATACAATGTTTAGAATGTGTTTATAATTATGACATGCAATATATATTCACTAGTATAACCACGCATTCGTGTTCATCTTCCAACTGCTGTATCGAGGGCAGGTCAATTTACCTTGAACAGTGACGAGTTCCTCTTCTGTACATTCCAAATGTTCTTGATCAGACAAGGCTCTTAGCTCAGTCAACGAGGGAGGGGAGACTGTGGGAGAAGTGTCGTATAATCATATATTTCTTTCTGTCTACAGAAACATCTGAAGATGCGGTTCAAGTTAGCCAAACGCCATCCTTTGCTATAAGGTTAGCTAAAGCGGAATGAATAGTATAATTCAACCATGCTCATGTTTTTAAATGTGGTTGTTAATGCGTCTGCCTACATATATAGCGCATATTGCCAATTAGCTGGTGTCATACTAAAATACGGCCCCACATTTCGCTGTCCAGCTGAATTCCTTGGGCAAGCAAAAAACCTATGATTGTGGGTTCGAATCCCGGTTTGCCCCGATTATGTTTCTAGGTCTGGCAGCACCATTCCCGTGCTTATGAGTTTCACCAAAGTGGCAGATGTCTGAAACCTGCATCACTTCGAGCTTTCGAACCATATTCAGCTGACACGCAGTTATATATGTAATAGTGTTCAAAGCGGCGTTCAACCCAATTCCCTCACTCATACTAAAACATTAATTTCAATTATTTGGAGGAATTACCACTGAACTTGTTTGGAACTGAAAAGTGCATCTTTATTCAAATGATTCAATTTGATGGTTTACGTACCCGTTAATTCTGCCATGGTCGCTGCTGATTCTAGAAATGGATTATGGATTCAATTAAAATCCTTGTATATACATGTATTTTTAAATGCAGTGTTCGCAATGTATAGTTCAAATCAAGAGACAAAAACGAATTAAACATATTTTGCGAAAAAGGTGTAAAGAAAATTCGATAGCCATTCATCAGGATTTGGTTTGGTTTATTGTTTAACGTCGCACTCCGCAATATTCCAGCTATATTACGGCGGTCTGCAAATAATCGACTCTCGACCAGACAATCCAGTGATTGATATCATGAGTATTGATCCACGCAATTGGGATCGATGACATGGATCAACCAAGTCAGCGAGCCTCACCACCCGATCCCGTTAGTCGCCTCTTACGACAAGCATAGTCGCCTTTTAGTCGCATGGGTTGCTGAAGTCCTATTCTCCACCCGGATCTTCACGGGTGTCATCAGGAAAATAGAAGTACATGGAAAATGATGGTATTACCGCATTTCGTGTGATACTGAAGCCTAAAAGCGACCTCAGAATATATAAATACAGTCAGCTTATCGCTTTTTATGGACATCTTGACAATCGCAGCACAAAGTTTATATGACATTTATTTAGATTTAAAAAAAAGAGAATATTTGAATAAAGTAATGTATGGGCATTACCTGTATTTTCTCCTTCTCGCAACCAGTCCGTCCGTACAGTGACAAACAGCGTTCTTATCCTACTACTTAACGTCGTTCTGTACACAAACGCCCTTGTTGTTGTTAGATATTGATAAACAAACCAGCCACGCATCACACACTCACAATTCATGTCATGGCAACGTTTTGTAAATACACAAACATTTTGAAATGTTTTGTTATCGTGCGCCAATTAAAATTACGCATTCGTGTGGAAAGTGTTTACTAACTAGATAATTACCTTGGTTGATAGAATGTGTGTACTCCATGTTGTAGGCTTATCACCCGGGGAATACCGTTTGCCTGTCGGCTCGGTACACGGCCTCACATAGGGTATTTCAAACCATATTCCTCAAGGGACAAGTCTTTAATTTATCCTGTAACCATGTTTATCACTGACCGCAATTTAAACAATGAGATGCGAAACGTTTGTGAGTCATGTGAGCTCCAGACTTCAATTTTTTCATGTTTAGGCAGTGGGAATTACGTACATCTAAAGTCTGTCTGTCTATTGTTTTACGCCGCACTATTCAAGCAATATGTCGGCGGTCCGTAAATAATCGAGTCAGGAGCAGTCAAGGATCCTGTTATTCCCCTCTTCCGACAAACATGGGTTGCTGAAAATCAGGTATAACCCGCATCTTCACGGGTGTCACATCTGTCAAGCGACGCCGTTTCACTGTAAGGAGCTTGAATTGCAGATGTTACAAAGATCGGCAAAATCTCTTGTTGTCATGGCGGCAGGGTATTTTGTTTTCTCTTGTATACACCGCTGTAGAGGAATAAAGAGATTGTCAAAACGTCATTGACCAATAGAATTCAAGTCAATTACGTGAAAGGTAAGATAAAAGCATTTACTTCATATGTACGTTAGGTTACACTTAAAAAAGTGTCGTTTGATGCTTGTCGCCGCAACGCCACGGCGGTCTGTAAACAAAAAAGACAATTGATGGACAAGACAACCCAATTACACGATAGCGCATTTACTTATTTTGCCAACACGAACATATATATATGATTTTGAATTACGTCTGCTGTGAACAAGTGCAGAGATTCTAGTGCTAATAAGTAAGGAAAACGTTTCCGAAATGTATTCGTTTTGTGAGAAAGCGGGATGAAGTTTCAATGATGTTTCCGCGTGTATGACCATGTGTTCGTTTGCTTCATTAAACATTCATTGATTGATACTGCTTACGTTATAGATCCCTCTGACTACAAAATAATATTAATGGCTGACATTTAATCATTCCATGCTCAATAAGTATCAGATGACATTTTAAAGGTAACGATTTTGTATCCGCCTATTCCAAGTGCCCACCAACAAGGCTTGTCTCCTCAACAGAACTACAGATGCAATCTTTAAGCATGATTCTCCATAATTTCCCATAGGAATTGCCGAGCGTCTTCGTGATACAGTCAACCCAAACCGACCATAAATCTACACATCATCATCAATAATTGATTCATAGCGTCCAAATCCTACACGACTGATAGATAGGTCTGTCAAGCCAAGAACTGCATTTGCAAATAAAACATTTTATTCTTGAAAAAAACCCAAAAATCTGTTATCACGATAAGGACAGTTATACACGAAAAAAGTGTTATGATAAATGAACGGATGCAACCAGAACGCGGGTCTAAAAAAATAGACGTGTTACTTTCATCAGCGCTAATGACGGAACGCTTACTAGGTCAATGTTTCACAAGATCAGATATTAAATGCAGATGACCACAATTTGTCTTAATCAGTTGAAGAATCATTTCATCACAACTGAATAATTGAGTTACAGGATTCACTTTACAAGAACGGCTTTCGTTGTGGCGCAATATGAAACTGCAGTTGTGTCCGACGAGGTTAAGTTGTCCTGGGCCCACTTGCACAAAACGATCTTAGCGCTACGACTATTGTAAGCCTATGTTAAAGTATGGGAGTTACGATCATCTTAGCACTAAGATCGCTTTGTGCAAGTGGGCCCTGGCCGTTAGAGCGTCCGCATGTTTTAGTATCGTTGAATATCGTTGTTTTCGTTCTTGTACTGTTACCCTTTTGGCGAATACTTTGTGTCACTGATCTATTCAGTGATCCATTCACATTATGTTCACCGCTATTTTACCATTTACACACAATGAAATTTGTTTGGTCGGATTATCGTGACTAGTTACTCTTTGGCTTGACGTTTCATAATTAAAGAAAGCTAAACGATACCGTTATGTCTACAATACATATAACCTAAACTTCCACCTATTGGAATAATGCCTTTGAAAGGGCATCTTCGGATTATGCTTACGGCAACAGATCCATTTCAAACCATTTCATTGGAATATTGTTGAGCGCGGCGTTAAATAAAAACCAGACAAGCGAAGCGTTTGACTCATCAGTCGTGATAGCATTTACAGTAAACTACGTTTATAACGAACACACTTATAACGAACTGACAGATTTAACGAACATATTTTTTGGTCCCGGCCATTTGCTGTACACATGTATGTGCTGTATATATGCATATAACGAACTACGGTTATAACGAACTAAAATTAATGGTCCCTTTGAGTTCGTTATAACCGTAATGTACTGTACATAATTTTGACAGCGACTGAATGATATTTGTACATCAGGCAATAACGTCATCTTCTTAAGGCAACCCATGCTTGCCGTAAAAGCTGACTATGCTTGTCGTTAAAGGCGACTAACGGGATCGGGTGGTCAGACTCACTGACTTGGTTGATGCATGTCATCGATCCCAATTGCGAGCATCGATGCTCATGATATTAATCACTGGAGTGCCTGGTCCAGACTCGATTATTTACAGACCGCCGTCATATAGCTGGAATATTGCTGAGTGCGGCGTTAAACAACAAACAAACCAGCCAAATCCCACTTTATACTGCCATTGAATAATGTACCGCCACTCAAATGTGCACTGCCATTGTAATTGCTGTGCAGAAATTGTTATTGATTTGTAAACCTAGTTAATTTTGTAATACAAATGTCGATTGTATACCATTTGTTGGTTGTTTGTTGGTTTCACACTAATATATTTTACGTACAGATTTCTGGGTTAACATATTGTTTCAATTTCGGAATCGACACGTAACAGTAGGTAATCTAGCATCTAGTCAAATAGTCACAGTTACAGGCTAGGAAAACTGTCGCCGGTAATGCAAGTGTCAGATTACTCGCCCAAAGGCCAACCAGGCCGCCACTGTGTGTCTTACTGCTGGCTGGGAGGCTGTAGCTGGCCGCGTAGAGGGCGCTGTCAACCACAGGCGCGTCTGATCCACCACACTCAGTTGTTGAAAGGCAGCTAAGACACAGGTGGAATATTTTTTACTGTGATGTAAATTATTATTCACCTACTCACTTTAGCACTTTTAATACCTGATGAATGAGAGCATACATGTACCTCACAACGCCTAAGAGTGCGTGAGTGAGTATGGCTTAACGCCGTTATTAGCAATATTCCAGCAATATCACGGCGGGGGACACCAGAATACAACGCCCAAGAACACGAACACCCTTACTGATATGATCCTAATCTCTCGACTATAATTTAAACACTAAAGGATTATTTAACTTTCCACGCACCATACTGCTTGACTCATCACTGTGTTTCCTGAGTTTATTTGCTTGAATTTGTGAGGATTTTTCTCTCTTAAGTTTTGCTTATAACAGAGGAATGTATATAATCAACAACAAAAGTTCCTGTGACACCAATATTTTAGTGTATGTTTCAAACAAGTAAAGTTTGGTTTTCAATATTGTAGTACATGCATGGAATCAAGTCACAAAAACGCAACTGCTACAGAAAAGCATCCATTCCATGCAAAAGTTGACTTTTATGCAAGCCCCATGCATTTCACTACCAAAGAATGGGTATAAAAACATGTGCGTTAACGGGATTCCATATGCATTGTTTAGCATCGTGCTGACAACAACCACTCAGAAAAACAACAAAATTATTCAACATTACGAAATGCCGTGACTGTCCGAAAATGAGCGTCTGCGAACCATTGGTATGCTTGAAGCAGGATCGAGTCAACGTGATGTTGCAAGACAATTCACCGTCCACAGAAACACCATTTGGTGTTTGTGGCAACGTTGGCAATAGACGAATGCAGTCAGAGACCCTCCTCGGAAAGGCAGGCTACGCGTAACCAATAATCGACAAGACAACTGGATTCGAACAACACACCTACGAAATCGATTCCAGCCAGCAACAGTGGCTGCAGGAGCATCCCTGACGAATGTCTTCACAAACCGTACGTCGTCGCCTCAGATGTGCAGGGATTGTCGCCAGAAGACCCGCCAGACGTCCCATTTTGACAGGAAACCACCGTCAAGCACGTCTAGAGTGGTGCAGACAGCGTCTACGCTAGACGGCCATGCAGTGGGGACAAGTTCTATCCACTGACGAGTCTCGTTTTCACCTCAGCAACAGCGATGGACGGATTCGAGTGTACCGACTACGGGGTGAACGTTACGTCAATCATTGTCTTATGGAAGAAGATCGGTTCGGGGGCGGAAGCGTTATGGTATGGGGTGAGATTACAGCAAGACAGAGGACCCGTTTGACAGTGGTAGAGGGAAATCTCAATGGACAGCGCTACCGCGACGAGATCATCGGCCCTGTTGTTCTACCATTTATGCGTCGTCATGGCGCAGGCATTACCTTTCAACATGACAACGCCCGGCCTCATATTGCTCGACTTGTTCAGGATTCTCTTTAACAAAACAACGTGAATGTAATCCCCTTGTCGTCTCGCTCTCTTGATCTCTCACCAATCGAGCACATGTGGGATGAGATGGATCGGCGCCTTCGACGTCAACCACGTGTTCCGCAGACACTCCATGAACTTCGAAACATGCTCCAGCAGATATGGACAGATATCCCACAGGACTTTGTGCGACACCTGGTCCATTCCATGAGACGAAGATGAGTCGCTTGAATCGCAACCAGAGGTGGACACACACGCTATTGATATGTATATTGACATTTTGGCATGTTCACCATTTTTATGAAATCACGCATTTTCTGTAGTCAGTATGGCAAAATTAAACCATTTGAACACTTACAGGAGTCTTGTATCTGTTGCAAA